GGGGGGGGGGGGGGGGCTGGATTAAAGACGTGTTTTTTGTCTGTTTGTGGTAATCTTCAACACATATGACAAAACGTAAGATTTTTAAAGTGTTTTTTTTTTATTTCGTGCACGGGCGCTCTGATGCAAATTGTCGCCAAAATTAGTTTTCGGTCGACGTCCGTTTTGCAATGTGTTTTATCTTTGCTTACAGGCTTGGATCCATCGGGGTATCGTTCTTCTATTGCACATAAAGATGAAAATGACGCTCTTCTTGGTGGTGAAGCGCAAATGAGTGATGAAGAACGATTTAAGGTCATCATTTAATTAAACACATTTTATTATAACGTGTTGCACAGTGGGCATTACATTTCAGTAAGCGGCCCCTGAATGCAAACAGTTGTTGTCATTGCAGGGTGCGGTTACTGTACCTCACTGGTACTCCAATGGTAATAAAATTACCTTTTACTTGAGGTGATATATATGGTGTACTTAGTCTTAAAGTAATGTACATCAAGCACAGTTTTCTAAAAACGTATTTATGCGGTAACTCGAAACTACTGTTAGAAGAGAAGGTTACATATACTACAAAAACAAAATTGAGTCCAATATTCCATATCTGCCTATCATATTTCTGTATAGCTAATTATTGTGCATGGTTTTGAAAAACTTAGGCTTGGAAATTTTCTAGTCAATTAATACCAGCAAAATTCAAGTACTCGGGCGGTGAGAGTAACGCATTCGTATACGTGGCACTTGGCTGGAAATAAGTAATACTAGCCGGTAGTATCCGGCATGCAGCACTGCTGCCAGGAAATTTTAATAAAATGTCTTGGCAAGAAATGTTCTTACTTCTTGCAGGAAATTATTGTCATACTTATACTTATTATTTGCAAAAGCGTTTTGCAAGTTGAGATTGTCCACTATACGTTCACATAATAATAGAGGTTCAGATTTGAGTTCCACTACCTCTAACAGGCTTAGTGCGCATCTGATTGGTTAATCGAATATATCAAACGCATCTGATTGGTTGATGGTCCCTTAATGGTAGCGGTAGTGGAAGTCAAATCTGAACCTCTATAATGTGTGGCACCATCCGAAATCTACATTGTGCAGGAAGTTTTATATTTGACTTACACAGGAACTTTTCCTTGTTTTTTATGCAGGATTGCGACCCATTTTCAATGCGTTGTATGAACGAAAATTGTCAAGAGCAATATGTCTATGATTTATCTTCTGAAAACAAAGTAAGCTGCTTTCTTTCCTATTTAATATTCTTTTTATTTCATTCCTTTACATTTCTCGCTGTTAGTGTTCTCAAATGTTTCTCTTAATTATTCAGCTGTATTAACTTCCGAACACGGTTTACTCGTAGCATACAGTGGTGGACATTGAGCAGGGAAAAAATTAACTTTCCATTAATTGGTTTTTGAATGCAAAAACTGAACTCTTACCATTATTGGCTATTTATGGTAAATTAGTAAGAACCACAATGTTTAATATTTACCATTAATGGTACTTCCTTTTTTCCCTGTGCACAAGAAAGAACCATTGATGGTAAATATTAAACATGGTTTTTACCCATTTACCATATGGGAAATCTGTAACAACCAACAATGATGAGTTGAGTTTCTACATTCTTAATGGTAATGGAAATTTAAAATGTTTCCTGTGTGTGTGTGTGGGGCGGGGGGGGTGTCAAATATTTTCAATAATCTTTACTCTTTCGCGTGATTGTTATAACAAAGTAAAGGTAAAGTAAACTTTAGTTAAACACGCCCATTCAATATAAATTGATTTCCAATTGGGGCTTGTAAAATTTAAAATTACAAAGCTAAGGATAAAGATTTAAATCACTTAACTAAGTATATTACAACAAATAAAATCATATCAGGCTGATTGCACGTATGTAGAAGCGAATTGAAAGCTCTCGGCGTTTCTAATTTCAGCTGGTAAATTGTTCCATAATTTGGTACTTCTGCAACCTGTACGCTTTTTCCATATTCCATTAAAGGAAGAGGAAGATTTATAGCTTCACGTCAGAATTTCGTAAGTTGTAGTCACGAGATGTGACAACCGAAGCACTGGAAAATATTTCAGTATAAGCACCGCAGGAACAAAACCATGAACTTACGAAATTCTGACATAACTGTTATGAAATTCTTGCATAACATGCATTAACTTTATAACTGTTCATATTTTTAGGTAATTGATTACTCTCGATGTTCAAAATGCAAAGTGATGTTTAGACAGGAAGTTGCTATGAATAGACTAACATTATTGATCAGAAAGCATGTCAAGAAATATTATGCGGTAAGTTTTACAAAGATTTGCCACCTTCTTTAACAAACCCCTTCAAAACCCCTTCAACAATAGACCTTTCCCCTTTTAAGTGAAATTTTGATCTAGACTAGCCTGGACAAAAGTAATATTCCGAAGTTTAGTCAATTAGTAATATTCCGAAGTTTCGTTGCTAAATGTTGTAAAATGCGGATAATATAGCCTTGCGAAGTTTGCCGTTTTTCAGTCATTTTGCATTACAAACGGGAAATTGATAATCAGATGAGCAAACTGAGCAATTTCCCATTTGTAATACAAAATGACTGAAAAACAGCAAACTTCGCAAGGCTATATTATCCGCATTTTACAACATTTCACAACGAAACTTTGGAATATTACTAATTTTGTGATGCTCTTTCAAGCTGTGATGAAATTGTTGTCCAGGCTAGTCTAGATCAAAATTTCACATAAAAGGGGAAAGGTCCATTGTTCTATCGAGTGAGATGCCCAAAATTATAATATTTACCCATACACCACACATTGGCATCATCTTAGTATACATGAACTTGTGGTTAGAGCTTGACAACCGTCTCTGTAGTTGAACTTGTGGTTAGAGCTTGACAACCGTCTCTGTAGTTCAGTTGGTTAGAGCACTGCACTGGAATCGCAGGACCTCAGGTTTGATTCCTGTCTGAGGGCCCACTGCTCTTGGTTAGGTCGAATAAATCAGGGTTCGTACAAAACTTGAAAGTCCTTGAATGTCATTGAATTTGTAAAGAAGTACTTGAATGTCCTTGAATTCTTCTTGCTTTAGTTTTTGGATATTTTCTGAAATTGTTTGACATTCAAGACGGACATTTTGTTGAACTGATTTTGCATGTTCATATCTGACCTCATTATTAAGTTACGTTTTGAACAATTCAACGACAGATTTTGCTGATTTCTAACGCCTTTTCAGTATTTAGTCCTTGAATTTGCTGATACATGGCTTTGAATGTCCTTGAAAAGTCCTTGAATTTGACTCTTCCTGACATGTACGAACCCTGATAACTGTATTAAAATTCCACACGAAATTTCCATCTTCAACAAATATTTTTTTGGCGCTGATCATACAGTTCTGTTTAATTTCTCATTATATCTTCAGGCTTGGATGATTTGTGACGATCTTTCATGTGGTCAACTCACCAGAGATGTTCCTTCAGTCCCTCAGCGTGGCGCTTCTTTCTGTGTTTGTAAGCGAGGACATGTATATCCTGAGGTAAGGGGAGGTTTCATTCTGTCCCTGATACAATCAGCTTGTTGCATGTTTTAGTAGATGTTATGGTGCTGTTAGGAGAGCACTCTGACTCAGGGTTACGACATTTTTAGCAGGGCTGGGAGACGGATGTATTACCTCCGAGAGTGCATGGCAAAACTACACACGGAAGTTGCTTAACAAGATACTTTAGCAATATTCGACCTTTCCTCTTGGTTGCCTCCCTATCTTTCTACATAACTGCACAACAGGTGTCTAGACATAATAGATCTGCCTAGAAATACTTTTCCTCCACTATTGGAACCTAGGAATAATCTCACAGTTAAGGAATATAAGAACATCGTGAAATCTAACATTCATCCTTGCAGCAAGCGCTTCGTAGAAGCATCTACAATGCACAAACACTATTTGATATCAGCGAACCGTATACGGGTACCTCTATCGCGCACTCGGCACCACTTTTGAGATTTCCAGTTTCGTAGCCATTTTATCTTTTTAAAAACGTGTAATGTTGTAACTAAAGTAAATTATTTGCTTAATTAACCTTTTTCAAGGCAGAGTGGGTGATTTCACCAGGTTCTGTTGATACCAAACACTCTCTTGACTCAAGTAAATAAGTTGTCCCATAATCACATTTGGGGAAAAATCGTGCTTATTAAATAAAACGTCCTCTCCCTCTCAGACCTGAAATGATTAGCTCTAAACCAATATCGGTCAGCCATAGAGAATGGATACCCAGTAACGCGTCAATTCTTGGGTTTCATATGACGTCACAAAGTGACGGGATGTCGACTCTAAAACAAAACACAGTTATCAGAGTGAGTCGATTGTTGGTTTATTACTAGAAGTTACTATCGCAAGGAAAGTGCTGCCTCACCCCCAAGGGATCGAAGGCTGCATGTGCAATTTGCTGAATAGGGGCTGTTTTATATATGATCCCGCTTTGCCATAGAGATGTGAGGCGGGGTTATTTTGATGTATTGAAACAAGTCACAGTGCACAATTCAGCAAAAGAACTTCATTATTTTCTGGAGATAGATTTAGTTAACTGTACTGTAAATGAAATGTAATAACAATCTTCTGGAACTACAAGATCTTTTCTACAATATTTGAATTCTCTTAACCAGCATTTTAACTTTTGTTTAGCCTACCGACTTATTTCAATACATCAAAATCATGACATCCCATCTTCCATCATGTAAACAGACCTAATCTATTCCCTAAGACACCTGTTCAGTAGGTAGGAAAAGTGCAATTTGAATATCAAACACCTTGCACAAGGTCAAAGGTCAGCTAAATATTCAATGCTTATAACTTCTTGCTTTTGTATGTATAATTATAATACTGTCAGTGGTGAATCTAGCCATTGCAACCATAAGCGTATGGGCCGGGGGGCACAGACCCCCCAAAATTTTCACGGTCAGGCAGAAATCCATGCGTCATTCGGGCAAAACATAAAAATTTCACAAAATAATGTTATGCAAACCAAAAAATTATGTTACTGTATGTCCGGAAAAATCTGTGCATTTGGTGACCTAACCCCCCCCCCCCCAAACAATTTTTGGGTGAAATATCTATTAGCGACGGTCGGGCAAAGTAATACTGTGCCCCCCAAACAAGATTAGGCCCGTACTCACATGATTGCAACAGGTCATGCTATGCAAGTTTCTAATAATTTGCATCAATTGGTCAAATAGATGCAGGTTTATTGGCGTGGCATGACCAGTTGCCATGGCTAGCTTGCCACTGAATATTAGACAAAATCATATTATATATAAACGATAATAATACTTGAATGAATCATTGGACATGTAGAGTTTAATAGCAATTTCATATATATAGATTGAATATTAAGTCAGTTTCTGTCCCAGTTATCATTTTAATGGCTGCACCTTCAGGGCTACCCCTGTTACAAAACCACTGTCACTGAACAATCTACTGACACCTGATGGGAGACAAAATCTATTTGTTGAAAGTTTTGTTTCATATGTGATACATCAGCTTCTGCATGGCGACACCATTCATTTGTAATGATTAAGATTGTACTCAGTCAGAACTGCAGAACTATATAATACAAGAAATTGTGAGCATTAATTATCAAAAAATATAGTATACCCTGAACTGTAGTAACACAGCCAGGTGAATATATAAAAATGTAGGCCGGTAGAATTATTTCATATTATGCTATTAACAATGGACATATCTCAGAGATATACAGAAGTATTACAGACCATTATATTTATACCTTTTACAAAAATCGGTCGACATGTTATGACATGTAACATGTAACTGGGTTAACATTTCCACACTAGGTTGCTAATATAGGAAATAACTTCGTACAAGTGAGTTACTGTAATTTTTCATTCGTGTACAATTGCGTGTTCCAATGCGGGCAAGATACTGCTCAATTTATATTCCCATAATAACAATATTAATAATAAACTATCACTGTCATTATTTATACCTTGAAGTTCCTTGAAGTATGATGTTCTATCAAGCCTATGAATGCTACAATCGACGAGCTACCCACTTGTTTATATGAAGACTTGTAGTCAATTCATTCGCTTCAAGTTTCAATGCGTATCGACCAAAACTCATTGTTACAGTATTTGTGATCAAACTTTTATCTTACCTTGAAAATATTTCGACAAACAGCCAGAGTCCAGACAAAAAATTTGCGACACAATGCGTACAATCCGTACATGTAAACATGTTTACAAATTGTCATGGTCCATGGTGGTGTTCTTGAGGTTCAACCAGGGTATTCGGAAAGTCAAATCGCGATCTGGAGTATGTTATTTTTACAGTAAAATTTCTGTGACGTCAAAATACGTCATAAATCTGATCATCCGTACAAGATTCCCAAAAATGACTTGTTGAATCCACATAACTCGCGAGCCGGAAACGGACTGTTGCGAGAAAAACACATCGTCAAGAATAGTGTGCTGCCTTCGGCAGCAATTAGCCTTGCGTTTGGTGGCAAATACGTGGAATTTCGTATCATTTTCTCACTCCAGTAGAGCATATAAGCATTAATACATTTGAGGCTGGCCCCCCGTCAGATTCACTGCATTATGCCGTAGTGAAACCCAAGAATAGTAATTTGTGTAGCGCATTTCAACCAAATTCTGCCTGCCAATTTAAAGGCGATGTCTGCGGAGGAGGCTAATCAAACCAAATAACTTCGGATGTTAATTATTAACCCATTGAGTGGCAGCACTCTCCACTTGACGAGTAAAATCGTCTTGCGTTAGAAAGAGTGAAATACTAAAGTATGGCGCATCGGGGTGCATTGCCACTTAAAAGCTTAAACATAACCTTGGAATGGTAAATTTAACGCGGTCAAAATGCTAAATTTAAAGAAACATGGAAACAAAATTATGTTAGCCTAATTCGAAAGAATGTTAAGATTATTTCTAAATCCTTTTTACAAACTATCTTTAAAAGTTTATGAGATATTTGAAATAAAAATATCCGTCATCTTGTTTTATAATTAGATCTAAATGACGTCATAACCAGGGTAGACATATTAAAAATAGAAAATATTATTAGTGAAAGTTTATACATACTTGTGCTTTAATTTTAATTAAAATAGGCAATAGTAAAAAATAGGATTTACCATTAAAATGGCCTGAGAATTGCTGAAGATACTGAACAAAATAGTGTTGACCTGGTTGTGACGTCACGCTTTTGTTTGAAATTAAGTATAATATCTTTCATACCAAGAACGATATAGAAAATCTGTAAAAAAGTTTTGAAATATATTGAATCCCTCTTCCAAATGGGAGAAACTTAATTTTCATTGCTATTTCCCTTTAACGCGGGAATGTGAAACTTTATCTTGTTGATTATTGTGCAATGGCCGATTAATAATCATCCTTCTGTTTCTTTCAGTATAATGACACAACACTATATACGCAGTTGCTGTATTATCAACGTCTTTTCGAAATAGACAATAAAGAATTGCTACGTGCAGGTAAGGATGTGTATTTTCTGTATACAACAACTAGCCACGACCGGAAATAGCATAGAAGAACGTTCATGTCGCTGGGCATTCATTGCATGATATTGTCGGCTTTTTGTTTTCTTTCATTTCGACTTATTTGTGGCGAAATAGGCTTAAAGAAAAGTCCAGCACCACCCTAAAAAATCTTCTTGACCAGATGCTTTTCGAATAGCGATTAGCGCAACTTCTACTGTTAGCGCGCGTGTCGATTTCTTGATACGATTTAATTGATTTATAACGAGAATATTCTCAGAATGCTGTGTAGTTAAATATCATGGTTAAATATGTGAAATGTCGAGGTTCTTATATAGCCATATTTTAAAATATGATGTATACTTTAAGAAGCAAGTTTACTGTACTGTGCCACAGCAATTGTCCAGTCACGCATACGCGATAAAAACCCGATATACACTTTATAAACAAAAGATAATATAAAACGTAACGGAACAGCGAACATGCAGATTCGGCCATCTCAAATAATGGATAATGTTGGGATAGTCGCGTTGCAGACTACAGAAGAGAGTGTGAAGTAAGGCTCCCTCATTCACCACTCTGTGGAAACCCTGTGCCTCTCCTTACAAATTTCGTAAAAAAAAACATCGCTAAAGCCTCAGTGATCATCCGAACTTCAGGTGATATCTAATTTCACGCAATTTGGCCTTTCACTGGTCACAATACTATAATCATAACATGATCAATAATTTTTTCCGTTTTAGTTGAGAATAAAAAGGACTCCTTAGCATGGTTTTCGGCAATACATGGATATGTCACGAATCTCATCGAAAACAATTCATACTCTGAGGTCGATCTGTCAAAACTGTTTCAAATTCTCTTGCCGACAAAATGAAAGATGACCCGCGAGAAAATGCTCCAAAATCATGGTTAATTTATTATCTGGCTATTTTATGCATTAGTGTAGTATTTTTACTACTATTTTATTTTTCAATTTTGACCATATAGAATGAATTGGATCAGCGAATATGTATAACTGAACCACTTTTCAAAGCGAAATTCCCACGTTTATTGTGAATATTTCGATCCCGATTACTTTTCTAAATTTGGAATATTGGAAGTGGAACTTGCAAAGCCAACGAATTATTTAATAAAACACTGGAAATTACGATTTTAAGTTCAGTACTCCGATACTTGTAGTGAACAACTTGCGAAGTTGGCTTTGCAAGTTCCATGCAGTTTCACAACAACCTTGAAAAGTGCCCTGAATCAGATGTGACTTCCACTACCGCTACCATTAAGGGACTATTAACCAATCAGATGCGTCTGATATATCCGATTAGCCAATCAGACGCGTGCTAAGCCAGTGAGAGGTAGTGGTACTGGTAGTCAAATCTGACCCCTGGTTTTTTTCGCTGCTTAGGAGGAGGGTAATATACGGAGGCTTAGAAGGACGTATAATATATACCTTTTCGATAATTATGTCGTGAATACGTTCTTGGCCTGGAAGCCTCATTTTCATGAACGTGAGTCAATCTCATTCCGTCTTGAATCGCGAGAGCGAGGCTCCCAGGCCAACAACGTATTCATGACGTAATTATCGAAAATGCGTATTGTATTGTAACCACAGTTGAAACGTACAGTATATAAACAGTTAATTCAGGTAAGGCCCATTTAATTCTGAATAGCTTCTTCATACACCCTGGTATTTTGTAAACGGGATTGTTCTGTTATTTATACGTAGTTTATATTTCCTCATCTATTTAGTGTAGTCATTCATGCATATTATTCAAATTATATATTTTAATTAAAATTTGAAGATGTTGTTAATGGCGAACTTTTCATGCGCCAGACCTATTCAAATTAAATACGGCACAAGTTTGGCAACCAATTTAGACGTCGGACTTTATTGTCCCGTACCCAAATACAAGTACACGATGTCAGAAATGTAATGGTCCCTGGTTGAGTAGCCAATCAACGCTGAATATGTAATAGACCTAGCCTAGTTCCAGGCTTCCAAAGTAAACTTACCCGAACTTTCAGAACATGTACTTTCTTGCATTTGCCAAAATACTTTCACTCTTCATCCCAAAGTCATAAATTTAAAATATCCAAAAACATCGATTTAAATATATAAACTGGAAGGACAATCAAAGGCCATTGAGGCCGACTCACGGATAAGATCAAATGAAAGTGAGAAAGAATTAGAGCAGTTTGCAGTTGTTTTTGCAAACCGGGCACCGTGCGAATTTTGCCATTTCACCCATTTGTCGTGCTTCTTTTGCCAAAAGAACGAACGCGTGCTCCAGCTCAATTTCCAGTTCTGAAAGGCCCGATTCGCAGGCAAACAGTGCGCGCAGTTGGTCATTTCCCATTGTTTAACTGCCCCACAGTCACCCTGCACTTCTCGCTTCCACCTCTTCCCAAGCAAGCCAGCGAAGCGGAAGCGAAAGGCACGAACCAGAGGGCAGGAACTAGGCTATAGTTGGTTGCAGAGAGTTGGTTGAGTGTATACTAAGAATGTTCAGCTACAGCACATTTATCTAGCTCGGCTTTCTCGCAATTTGTCTTATATTCCTTATGACGTATTGAGAGATTTCGACCAGCTTCACCAATGACAATGTAAACCAAGCCACATTCACAAGCAGTGTGGTTCCTAATTGCAAGCCCAAAATTGACCAAATTACTTGGCAAAACCGGCTGAGTGAAGGGCCTACAATCTCGTGCAAAACTAATGACTTCTGATATTTCGTTCTATTTCCGTGATTACTTCTCTCCCCTATTCAATGTTGGAAAAAAATTGACCTGACAATATACCTTTGTATCTTTTGCCCAACATTTTTTTGGAGGGAATATATTTTCGCTGAATATTAAAAAAAAAATAAAAAAATAGAAGGCCTAGGTCTAGGCTGAGGTCTGGGTAAATGTCAAGATAATGTTGGGCCGACAGAATCTAGATATTTACCCAGACCTTAATAACATGAAGTACATAACATGAACTTGTGGTTAGAGCTCAAGAACTGGTTTCTGTCGCTCAGTTGGCAGACTGAAAGAACATCACGAACTGAAAAAATCCCTTACGCTAAATAACCTGAAGTATGAACTTCCTCTGTGCCTAGACCTTTCAAACCGCTATTTATTACCAGACTAGTCCCAAGTCCTCTGTGCACGCTTTTGATTTCCGTGAAACGCGCAATAGGCGAACTAAGAGGCCTAGGGACTAGGCTGATTTATTTCTAAAGCGCCCGGATACGACGCTGCGTTTGGGGGCGTAACATATTGGTAATGTTTGGAATCCAGTTTTATTTCCCTTCACTTGTGTCCAGCAACCTCGTACCCAGGGTCTTTCCTCTTCGGGAGCAAAGACCCTGGTAGACGCTGGTGACGTGATCTGCTAAAATCTAGCAGATTTCTAATTAACTATCTTGGCTTTCTTTACGACAATCATACAAAATGCAAATTATAAATTAAACTATCAAAATAATCCAAATATCAAATGTTTATTGACCTGATCTTGGATTGCTAATTAAAAATCTGCTAGATTTTAGCAGATCACGTGACCAGCGTCTACCAGGGTCTTTGCTCTCCAAGAGGAAAGTCCCTGGGTACGAGGTTGTTGTGTCCAGCTGAATTTGTTTACCAACTGGACGCCATAATTTTTATTCGTGTAGTTGGGAATAGTTTCAGTTTGTCTTCACGTGCGCGTCGTAGGCCA